AAGGAAATACTTCTTTGGTTTCCGAGCCCCCAAGGTCTGGAATAGACTGCTGCTGGAGGTGGTTCAAGCACCTACTTTAAATGCCTTCTAGAGACATTTGGATGTTTATCTTGCTGGGATCCTATGACCCCTGCTGAATTCCTGCCCCTGGGGCAGGGGGCTGGACTCGAAGATCTTCCAAGGTCCCTTCCAGCCTGAATGTCTATGAATCTTTGAAAGACGCAGTCAAGGTCACCCTCAAGCACAGACGCATCAACACCAATGGCTGGGAGGAACAAGTTACTGACCATTCGGTTTGACTGCACCTGGTCCACCATGCCACGCACCACTTCAAGGCCCAACGACTCAATGCTGAGGTGAAACAGTGGCGGCAGAGGATGGAGAAGGAGACCAACCCCAGGGCTGCGAATCCCACTCCCCCTCACAACAACGTGCCCCCATTGCCAAAGAATGTGTGTATCCAGAATTGGGCTCCTCAGCCACCTGAGGACCCATCGAGCCTGATGGACGTCATCCTCGACTTCGAGGGACTTCCGATGACGAGTTGTTTCAGGGTGGCAAGTTTGCAAGTGGAGACTGGCAAAATGTCATCTCAGTCTCTTCCCAGATGCTGCTATTAGGCTTTTCCTTGCTATTGTTTTATCACCTGTCTGTCAATTTGGTTGCCATGGTTACTGCAGATGGGAGAACCTGCAGGTAACCAGAGTGTGGGTTTAACTTCTCTATTGTTCTAAGCAGTGACCTCATGGCAGAGGGGTAGTGGCTCAAGAGATGTCCATCTCTGAGTTGACCAGTGATACTTTTTAAATTGATTGGTTAATACCCAACAACACCTGGCCTTCATTGGGCCCCAACGGTGATGTCAAAAGGTCCATATAAGCTAAGACTGCCCGGGGGAGGGGGCAGCCATGATGAAGACACACACAGCTGCTCAGCATCTGCAGCTCGCTCTCTCTCTTTCATGTAACTGACTGACACACCAGGAACTGCTGCCTCCAGAGGAAAGCTCAGCCAGCCTCTGGATGATGCTTGTGAGTAAAGTACTGGGAACCGAACTAGATATATAGCTTGCAGTAAAGGACATGCGTGATCAAAGGCTAACTAACCACACTGTTTGCTGTAAGGTTATTCTAGCTCCAGCTTGTGAGGCTTCATCCTGCGCCACTCGAGCTCAAGCTTGCACTCATCGTGCTTGTGTTGTTTGGCCTCATGTTGGTGCGGTGCCTCTTTTTCAGCTAGCTCCATCCTGTATTTCTGGAGTTCAGCTCTTGGGTTGGGAGGGGAGACTGCTCCTTGGAGTTCTCATCAGGAAGCCTGTTGGAAGAGGCTTCATCCCCACTCAGAACTGGGGAGGGAGGTCCCTTGGACTGATCATCATCCCACAGGGCTTTAATCAGGACCTGTTTCATTTGCCCCTTCTTAATTTGGAGGCCTCTCCTTTTCATTGCCTTCACCAGGCCATCCACGGTCAGGTGGTCATACTTGTCAGCCATCCTAGCTAGCTACCCTGTGCAGCTGACCCAATGCCAAATTAAAGACTAGTTTGCTCAAGGGTTTTCAGTGACTCTACCTCCTTCCCCAAAATTACACCTTCCAGACAAGAGGCTGTGGGATGCCACAGCTACTACCATGTGTGGCGGGCCAGTTCCCCTTGGGCACTTACATCCAGTTGACCCCCTTCCTGGAGCACATCCACAAGCTTGGGGTATCTGCGGCTCCCACCTGGGGTCCGGTCTTTGTCAGGGCTCTGTGCCCCGCCAAGGTACACAGGCCTTGTAGAACTTGTGGGTGCTTAGCTCACCATGGAATTATCCCGGAGCATTAACACTAGTCTTTCTTAGGCAGCCGAGCAAAAGGGAGCTAGAAGGTTTACCTAATCTCTCTCAAGCAGGTACAACAAGGCTTTCTATAGTGGATAGTTTAATTTACGGGAGAGGGTAGGCATGGGGAGAGGCACAGCTCAGGCAAGTATCAACAGACAAACCCTGAGCAAACAGAAGCGGCGTGTTGCCTTTTGACACGTGACTAAAGCACTAGATTCTTAATTCCTAGTTACATTTCAGGTAAGTTACTCACAAGTGTGGCAGAAAGCCACCTTTGTTTCTCCCCCCAAAACTCTGCTATGTGACAATGGTGATTGGGATGGGCCCAGCAGAGAGACACATCCTTACCCTCTCTCTTTAGGTAACCTGAGCTGGATACATTCCTGAGGGAGGGGGAAACCTGCTCCCTTTGCCGACGAGACTGGCATCACATACCTGGGTGAGGGGCTTCCTTCCTGGTAGGCTAGAGTCTGCCCGGCAACTAGTGATGTATTTCAAATTGGTTGGCTGACAGCCAACCGGTGCTGGCCTCCATTGGACCAGGTAAATGAGGTCATAAGGGCTATATAAGTTAAGGACTGCCAGGAGGAGGGGGGCAGCAGCCATGAGGGATACTCAGGAACAAAGAAGAGCTGTACCATCTGAAACTTGCTTTCTCTCTCAAAACTCATGATCAAGGAGCTGCCTGCCTCCAGAGGGAATCTCCATCTGCCTCCGGATGGTACTTGTCAGTAAGCTACCTGAGATCCACCTAGATATACAGCTTGCAGTAACTCAGATGTGAGATCAAAGGCTACCCCAGGCACAGGAGTTTGCTCGATGGGATTTCTGATATTGCTCTACCTTGTACCCTAGTCTAACCCTACCCTCTGTAACCAGTAAAGTTCTCCTTTGTGACTGGTGTAGGAGACTTATTGAGGGGTGGCTTTAATTATGCCTAGGAGGCCCCTTGCATCTGCGGGCTAAGGGAGACTATCCTTTTTGGCCCCCAACTTGGGGAAGTGCCTCTATTTCCCCGAGGACACAGGCCCCAGACAGTCCCTTCTTGGGGTGGTGGCAGCACACGTTACCCCCGGACTCTGCGGTGGGGCTCAAAAGGGGGTCTGTCAGGGCTTAGGCACCCCTGGAGACACATGTCGAGTCTGGAAGGTGGACGGGCATGGTGAGGTTGGAGGCTCAACGCAGGAGCTCCCCCTACTGGCCCACCACAACAAGTTCATCCAGAGACTCATTGAGCTTGCTCTGGAGGCCTTGGCTTGATGCAGTGACCAGACGTTCTCTCTCTCCCCCACGATAGAGGGACCCTCTTTATAACCTGTCTGACCTCACCACCTGGACCCAACCAACATCAGGTATTTTCTGAGCATCTCTGATGCTGACCAGTCAGCCCCCACCTTGAGGAGGGACCACTGCCTTAGGAACCCCCTCCCAGGTCAAAGGAAGGAAGTTTAACAATAGATCAGGATACAGGGAGAGGAAATTTCCCCCTGCCCCCGGATCCCATAGCAACCGTTTTGATAGACACCTGGACAGAGAGAGAGAGAAGAAGAAAACACAACCCAAAAAGAAGGGGCTGGGATGGAGTTATTTCATAATCTTCTCCAAGGGGCAAGAGACATGAGACAGAGGTTCCCTGTGAGGGCACAGCTCCCCAACCTGTCCTACCCTAGCAATTTTGTTGGATTTTCTTTCCTGGTTTACAGGTGTAACCCTCAGCGTGCACTGCTAACCGTGGCCATGTCCAATTGTTCGGGACCTGGGGTGCCAAGTAGCAGCCCCCCTGACCAGCTCACCTAGGAGTGGCCGGAGGCTCCCTGAGAGGAGAGGGTCCCTTTACAATGGAAACTATAAATAACTATTTACAGAATTTAATTGTATACAGGGGAAAATTGTTATGTGCAAATGAACAGTGACAAATATCAGACATTTGAAATTCTCTATTTACAATTCACAAGGATGAGTCTATGCAAGAATAACAGTCGATAACTATTTACACCCAAAGGATGTTCAAATCAATGAATACAAAGCTAATACTGTAGATGCCATGTTAAATACTCAATGTATTAAATCCCTAATTAATTAGTTATAATGAATAACCAGTCACCACAACTTATGCCTGACAAACGGAGGGAGGGCTCTCATCACACACTTGCAGGCTGCAGCTATCCCATGCAGGCCCAGCATCTTGCAGTCAGCAGAGGCTGTTTTCACAAAGAACTCAGCAAAGCACAAATTCTCAAAACCAGACTCCTTTATGGCCTCTATTTTTTACTGCTCGGCACCCTCCCTCCCACCCTGGCCACCTGCGGGATCTTCCCGCTCGCCACCGCCATGCCCCCGACATTGACACCGCCGCCTGTGAGAGCTCGCCGTGCCCCCCAGCCTCAGGAAACACAATGTTTGTGGTGGTGGAGTTGCCCTGAATGCAGCTGTCCTGTGTTCTTGAGGTCCCTTGATGGCCACCCTATGTCCAGCAGGCAACCACGGGGTGGGACCACATTGCAGGCTTTCCCAACCCTTGCCATGCAGCACACACATCTCTCTCTTCACCCCAGGGGCAGCAAGATGCTCCAGTTTTAAGGGGAGCCTTAAACTCTCCTGAGTTCCCGAACTGCTTTTTGAATCCTGCCTCCCCTCGTGGGGGGATAATCTGCACTACAAATATGGGGTCCGTGTTGCAACAATCTTCCCCAAGAGTTTAGGCACAGCCCCTGCACTGACCCCAACCCCATCGTGGCACCATGGACATGCACTGATGGTTGCTCCCCCATGGCAGGTGTGCAGCTCCCTGCTCCCACTGCACCCGTGACACAAACCTGCTATGGTCGGTGTTTCCACCCAGCCCTGCCTCCCTCCCTCACACCTGTGTGATGCTGGGTAAGACCCTTGCACTGTCCGTCCCTCCCCATGGGCCTCCTTGCACAGACCCCGGGCTGGAGACCCATGGTCTGACCAGGGGAAGGGCAGAAAAGTGCCGATGGCAGCCAGGTGCAAGGGCAGGTGGCAATGCAGCGCAGGATAACCACTATGCCACGGCCCTCCCCATCCCTCCCCATTGCCTCCCTTCCCCTCAAGTCGCTGGGTAAGGGGAGCTGCCGGCACAGCCATGGGAGACACGTGGCCCCTTCCCCTTCGCAGGCAGGCAGGGCCCACAGGAGACACACACAGGACTGAATGCTAAGGGGAAATTTATTATCACTGCCTTGTGCTGGGACCATGCAGAGGAGGGGAGGAGAGATGTGGGATCCCAGCAGAGCGAGAGGAGGCAGAGGATAGCGGGACTGGCACGGATGGGCACAGCAGTGTGGGGAGGGGGCACAGCAGGCTGGTTGCAGGACGGGTCTCCCTGGAAGAGCTGCCGGACTCAATGCGCTCACATCCCAGGAGTTGGTGTACTCCTGCAAGAGCAAGTGTCACTGTGAGCCATTGGGGAGACCCTTCGAATGGGCATGATGATCCCAGGGCAGGGGCAGCTCTGTCTGGAAATCCCTGGCCTCTGCAAAGGCCTCCATGTGGGTCCCTGAAACCACCCATCCCGGGGCAACCTGGGTCCAAGTCCAACCCAGGCTCCTGCTCCCACTCCAGTGCCTCCCCCTGTGTCCTTCCTCCCTGCGGGCAGGGAGGGCTGCTTTCTCAGGACAAGGGCAGAGGAGCCATGAACGCAGCTGCTTAAAGACTGCTCCAAGCCTGAGGAGCCCCTGGCAGCACCATCCTGCCCCATCCAGCTGGGGACAGGGCAGGAAAGGGGGCCTGCCCATGCAGAGAGGGCAATGGGGAAGGTGACACGCATTCACACATGGGCAGCTGCCTGCACGCGAGAGTGTTCATGGCCGTTGCAATTACACTGCCATGTCTGGGAGATGAGAGAGTGAGCCTGGGTGACACGGGGCAAGGGAGGGGTGAGCAGAGGTGACACGAATGTCTCAGCTCTTTGAAAGGGGGTTTCACACCCACAGCATGGATCACTGCAACCTACAGCAAGGCTCACAGGATCCAGCCTCACAAAACCATCTCCTGAGGCAGTCGTTCCTGCATGTGCAAGGGGCATGATGCACCCACCCTCAGGAGGGGTTACTGCTACAGTGCACAGATGTCTCACCTGCTTAGAGCTGGTACTTGCAGATGAAGCCTCTACTTACTTTGCAGGAAACATCATTCCATAGCTTATACCCTAGGAGACAACACAGCAGTTACCAAGGGGAGGGGGACAGGCTGGGCCCCCCACTCCAACCCCTGCTCTGGGACCTGATCCGAGCTCCTGTCCTTGACCCTGGGGCAGGGCAGAGTGGAGACAGTGCCCTGAACACCCAGGGGTGGAGGGGACAGGCCCCACACCCATGAGAGGAGCGGCGGGAACAGCAGACCAGGCTCTGGGTGCACTTATGACAAACTCTGCTGCCCTTTGCCCGGTCCCTGGGAGAGGACATGGTGCCCACAAGCCTGTTACCAGAAAGAAAGAAACCAAGTACAGGAGTTGGGTCCTTTGGTGCCATCCGGAGCTGTTGCAAGGAAGCTGCACTGTGTCCTGTTCCCTGGACACGGCACCATCCCACAGCAGGGCGCAGCTCCCTCGCTCCGTGCCCAGCTCTGCTCTTCCAGCCAGACGCTGCCAACCCCCAGCCCTCTCTCCAGACACCCCAGGTCTTGCACTGTCTCTTGGCTTCTTCACACTGGCACACACACGTGCAGTGCAGTCAGTGCCCCGGCCCCTGTGCACACACACGCGCGCGCACACACACACGCGCACCATCCAACCACTGCTCCAGCCCCGGCTTCTGCAGTTAGGTACTAGGGACCAGCTTGTTTTCTTTTTCTCTCTTCTTCAGGCCTCCCAGCCAGAATCAAGGGTGTTTGCACTGGTGCCACCATGTGCAAGCCCCTTCCTGCACAGTCCAAGACCCCTGCACACTTGCACAGATGAAGACAATATAGATATAACTAAATTATATGGACAATGAGCACAAGGTTTGGTGAACTCGTTCTGTGGGGGCTGTGAGAGGACAGCATGGAGCAGGGTAGGAAGTGGAGGACTGATCTGGACACAGAGGTGGGAAAAGAGGAGGGAGAGGGAGGGGAGAGGGACAGTGCTGGGAGAAGCAAACAAGCCACTGACCCACAGACACAGAGCCAGTCATGGAAGCTAACCCAGGGGATGGGGTAAGAACCCGCAACCCCCATTTAAACCTCACCTAACACAGTCCAGTGTGTGGACAATTTCTTACTTGGAAACTTCCCATTCAAGCTGGTGTTCAAAAGTTCACTCCCAGAGAGCAGCTGCCCTGAGGTCAGTGAAGCAGTGCCCGGGGGGCAGAAGTGTCCTGCCACGGGCCTGCGTGTCTCTCTGTGGCCGGTGTCAGAATTACGTCCCATCGTTCTTGCATGCACAGATCGCTCTGTCAGCCCCATGGAGACTCCGGCTGGGCATGGTCAGCAGGGGGTGGCGTCTAATGCTGGGAAGGTAGCCATGGACTGACCCTACCCTGGGGGTCTTCAAGAGGAGGTTAGATAGGCATCTAGCTGGGGTCATCTAGACCCAGCAACCTTTTCTGCCGAGGCAGGGGGTTCGACTCGATGATCTATTGAGGTCCCTTCCGACCCTAACCTCCATGAGTCTATGAATCTATGACCCTCCTGATGCCAATCCATATTGTCACGGCTTTTCCAGCTCTGCACCCGCAAGGACCAGAGCAGGTGAACAGGTGCCGGCCAGAGAGGCCTGCATCCTCGTCTGTAGCCACCAGCACCACATAGTAGCACAGTGGCACAACAGCTGCTCCTGGCCATTACTGCCCTTTTACAGACACCAGTCACCTACCCCAGGATGGATGGCCCTCTGTGCAGCAGGGCGCCTCTTGGGGTAACAAGGAACAATGGTCTCAAACTGGCAGCAGATTTAGGCTAGATATCAGGAAGAACTTTTTCATGGTGAAGGTGGCCAGAATTTGGAATGGGCTTCCAAGGGAGGTGGTGCCCTCCCCTACCTTGGGGGTCTTTAAGAGAAGGCTGGATCAGCATCTGGCTGGGGTCATCTGACCTCAGCACTCTTTCCTGCCTAGGCAGGGGGTTGGACTCGATGATCTATTGAGGTCCCTTCCGACCCTAACCTCCATGAGTCTATGAATCTATGACCCTCCTGATGCCAATCCATATTGTCACGGCTTTTCCAGCTCTGCACCCGCAAGGACCAGAGCAGGTGAACAGGTGCCGGCCAGAGAGGCCTGCATCCTCGTCTGTAGCCACCAGCACCACATAGTAGCACAGTGGCACAACAGCTGCTCCTGGCCATTACTGCCCTTTTACAGACACCAGTCACCTACCCCAGGATGGATGGCCTCCGCATGCATGTGTATATCGTGTGAACATGCATGTGCATTCATGCACATCCTGTCAATTATTGCAGCCTGGGGTAAATCCTGTGAGAAAGCAGGCCCCTTTCCTGCCACTGGCCACAACATATTGGAGCCGGGGTGTCCATTAGGCTGCCAAGCCTTGTGAATCAGGGCCTCTGCTTACCTGAGGAAGCTAAGAGCTCTGTGCAGCGCTCTTTCCCCATCCAATTGTTAGGTTCCCCTGGTGCCCAAGCTTTATAGTTGGAGATGGAGCTATCTGTCCATTGCCACTTTCTGTTCTGTAAGCAGGAGGAGGGAAATGTTAAGGAGGGGACATCCTTTGGAAATATGGGCTGTGGGCACCCCCAAAAATCATTATATCCAGAATAGCCCGTGCTGCGTGGGGAGAGATGGAAAAGGGCTGCTAGGAGGGGATGAACAAAAGGCAGCATCAGGGCACAGGCCCAGGGACACTGATGGAGCTGACACACAACCCTTGTTTAGAGCTCGAGCCAGCCAAGAAGTGTCCGACCTCACATGCCCTTGAAGCAGGATTATAGCCCCTCGGCCCACGCGGCCAATGCACAGAACCAGCCTCATCTCTTTGGCGCCTGAGTGGCTGCACATGGCTCTGACTTGTAGCAAAACCATCCCTGAGCCTCTGAATTCAGCTGCTCCCACACTCACAACGGCCCCGTACGGCCTGCGCCAGGCATTTCGGTGCATCAGCCCCCTCAGCCCTTTGCTCAAGCACAGCCTCAGCATCACTGTCCCGGGGGCAGGATCCAGCAGGCGTCCCTAACTCCCATGGTTCACCTTGCGCTCAGTGCCCACGGACACGCTTGACCCCAGGGGTAGTGATGGGACTACCCACTGCTGGCACCAGAGCCGTGGGGCTAGAGCACTTGTCCAGCAAGGAGGAGACCTGGGCTGTCCCCACAGCCTGAAGGAGCTAAGCCCACCCTCTCCCTCCCAGCGCAGCCCTTAGCCACCAGCCGGCACCGCACTGGGGTGGCCCTGCCCTGCGCCCCGCCTTGTGAAGCACTGCCCTGGGCAGGGGAAGGGCAGTGGCTTGGGTCAGACAAATACAGAGCAAGAGGGAGCCCGACTCTGGCCCCAGCAATGAGGTGCTGTGTCCTAGAGGGAGGGAACCGGGTCCAGCCCCCGCTTGCAGGACACAGTCACTAGTCAGAAACCAGACGCAGCAGAAACCCTCAGCCTGGTCCTGTGCAGGGCAGCGCCACAGGACTCCCCCTCTCTCCCACCGACCCCAGGACTCCCATTCTTGCCTGCCCGAGGGTGAGCAGCGGGAGGAGGGAAGCCCCAGGTTGGGCAGCCCATGCACAGGGAGCCTCTGCAGAGGCCCTGGGGACTGAAAGGAGCCATCCAGAACTGGGGAGGGCCACGGCAGGTGGACAGGGGCAGCAGGCACTCACCGCAGAAGCATCATGAAGCCCGATCCATACGTTCCCAGCAGGGCTGTTTGTTGAGATGTATCCAGCAAGGACATTTGTTTCTGCTTCATTGAGAACGGAGGCGAGATGGGCCCCTGGGCAGTAGTTCTGACACTCCGCCTGTGACAGGAGGAAGCCAGCTGTGTCTGCAGCTCCCAGGGCAGGGAGGAGCGAGAGCAGCACCTGCCTGGGCATTGGGAGGGGAAGGGGAGGGAGCGCCTGCTGCTGCCTCTCTCCAGCCTGGCTATGTGAAGAAATCACCCTCCGTGTCTGCCTCCCTGCTCTGAGTCTGTTCCCACTTCCCGCCCAAATACCCGGGAGGCACTGGTCATTTTACCTGAGGTTGCCGATGTTTTTCCAGCTGACCAGCCTGCATCAGCCGTGGTCTGAGGATATTGATTTGTGGCCGGAACTTAGTGATGAGGTCCCAAAAACTTTAAAAGGGGGTCATGTTGGAGGGGTCAGACATTTTGGGGCACTGAAACAAGAAATGAGCCTCCAGAGCTCTATCAGTCTCTGGATGAACATGTGAGTGACTTACCTGAAATTAGCTGGTATCTTAAGATTCAGTGAACGAGACTTGTATCGAAAGGGCCAACAAGCCCGTTCTGATTTGCTCAAGTGGGTTTTTATTAATTTTCCATTGTTTTGTATTCCGTCCTCACTCTTCCCTTTCTGATCAATAAAGGTATCTGTTATAGCATGCCTCGCTGTGTGGGTGCTTGAGAGGGGTGAGGCAAGCTTGTTTAGCTCCTCTTTGCTCCGCGTGCTAAGATGAGCCCATGTTTTTTTGTACCTTCCTCCTGTACATGAGGCTACTTGTGAACGCTTCAGGCTAAAAGAAGCACCCCAAAGTACAATGGTGGGTTAAGCACCTGCAAGGTCCACAGGGTCTACGTACCATGGGCTGCACAGAGCCCTAACAAAGACCCAGGCCTAGGTGGTGGCAGCGGTTACCCCGGGCTTGCGGGTGTCCTCCAGGAAGGGGGTTGGCCGGACATAGGTACCCCAGGGAAGACACCTGAAGCACTGGTGTTTGCTTAGGCACAGTGAGACGGGTAGATCAGTGCAGGAACACCCACTACTGGCCTGCCACAGGCTCCAGGGTGAAAGGAGGAAGGAGCTGCTTCCCTCCCCTCCACTTCAGACCCCTCTTCCCACTTGCCCCTGCACCAGAGATGAGCTCTCCCAGACACTCCCCTCCTAGTCCTGGGCCCTTCCCTGCACTAGCCTGTCCTGTCCCACACTGCCTGCAGCCCCTTGGCTGCACTTCGCCTCTGACCAGGAACCGAAACCTCATCCCTCAGCAAAATGTGACTGTCGCTCTGAAATGCCCTTGCTGCCGGCTCTGGACTTACCCTCTGTGAGCAACCCACTGGTGCCAGGTTACCTGTTGTATACATTTAAGTCCTTGGGCCAAAATGCTCCTTGTATCCCCTGTCTGATCTGTCTGTCGCTGGCAATCTCTCCAGTCAGTCTTTAAAAAAGACTTCTGCCCCCAGGGCCTTGGAGCCCGGGAGCTGCTCCAGTAGGGAACCACTGGTCCAGACTTGCCAGCACCTGTACCTCTGTTTGGATGTCCACCCCCCCCCAGTGCAATCGTCACTGCCTGGTGAGACCTCCCGGGCATCACCTGTGGCTGCTCCTTGTCCACACGCACACAGAGAGGGAGAGTGTCTGCCCCTCTAGAGAACTGGCAAGATTCATCTCTCCCGGTACCCCGGGCTCTCTCCAGGGGGTGCCTAGGGGGTGAGTGGCTGACTGCCACCAGACTGGGGAGGGCTGTGCCCAGAGCGCTGCCATGTGCCCAGGGGAAGGCCACGCTACGGTAGAAAAAGGACATGCCGCTTGTTGTGCATTTTGCAAACAGAAGTGGGGTGTTAAGTGCTGCAAGGGACCCCAGGCTGGACCTAAGGAACGGAGGTGCCTCCCGGCCGTGCTGAAGAGGGCAGCTCACCCTGGCAGAGGTGGGTGAAGGCACACCCCTGCGCTCCATGCTGGCAGGCACTGCTCTCAGTCCAGCCCAGTTTAGAAGCCGGTTCCCACGGGGAGCCTACATCTGCCCCTAGGCTGTGCTGGGGCCCTTGGCAGCCAGCTCCTTTCCATCTGCAGCCCGGCTGTACCTAGCATGGTGACTGCCCATGCAGGGAGCCCCCAACTTCCCATCCCACAGAGCATCCTATCCCAACCTGGCACCCCGCACCCAGACCCCCTAGCGCTCACCTCAGCATTCGCCCAGGTTATCTTCTCCTTGAAGTATCCATAGCATTTGTGGCGAAAGTGTAGCCAGCCATTGGGACAGACCTGGGTCTTAGTCCCTGCACAGAGACAGTGATGGGCAGGCAGTGAGGGGAAAAGGCACCCTGGTGGAGGCTCCCCCAGCCCCAGAGCGGTTGCTTTACTGAGGGCGGGGGCAGCAGAGCCAGGCCTGGGGAGGAGGGGGTGAAAGCAGCCCCTAGGCACAGGGCACATGAGGAGATGCCCGGGGGAGGTGACTGGGAGGAAGATCAGGGATTTGGGGACCCCGGTGAGACCCCAGAGCCCACCGTCGCATTTCTCAGGGCAGGAGGATGCAGAGGCAGGGGTAGGGCAGTATCCCAGCTCCAGCATCTCTCCTTGGTGCTGAGGCGGGGACCCTGTCTCCTGGGCAGACACGCTGGTCCCTGCTGCAGCCTGGCTCTGGGGTCTCTGGGGAAGGGCCCTTCTTGCCGAGGGGTTGGGGGAGCCTGAGCGGGACCACCGCGCTCCCTGCCAAGGGAAGCAGAGCCCGGGGGCTCCAGCGTGGCGCGGACTCACCTTCCAGCCCGGGGCTCAGCACCAGGCAGCCCAGGAGGCACAGGATGAGGTGGGCAGTGGTCCTCATCTCCTCACTTGTCCTGGGGGTAAACAGGGGAGATGGGCCCTGGGAGCCCACATTGTGCCCCACAGTGACCTCTCCCTGCCTCCCAAGGTGGAGTTTCTGGCCTGGCCCCAAACCTAGGACCCAGTGAGATCCCTCACAGGGCAGGGGTCTCTGACCTGTGTCTGGGGCCATGGTCCTTTCGGCGGCAGACCCACTGACCCTCCCTTCCACTTTCCTCCTCTCTTTTGCCTCCAGCACTGCAGGGCAACACAGGGCAGGGACCCTGGGAGCAGGTCTCCAGGGAGCGGGTGCTCAGCACTGACCCACGGGGCCGGGTGCAAGGACATTGCTGTGGGGCAGGGGGACACAGCGACTCCTCCACAGGGTGCCTCACGCACAGCACGTGCGGCCCCCTGAACCCCGGCCAGGACTGCTCCTAAGGCCTGGCCCCAGCTCGGAGGGGACAAGGGCCAGGGCCAGGGCTCAGGACTCACCTGTGCACCTCTCTGGGGTCTGGTCCGGAGCAGGGGGTTTGGTGCAGCCGGTGCCCACAGCTGGTGCCCAGCGGGTTTATAGGCAGGCAGGAGGGAGGGGATCAGGGAAAGGTGTGAACATGCAAAGCAGGCAGGGCCAGCCCACAGCTCCGCATCTCCTCAGCTGATCTTAATCTGCCCCTGCCCCCTGCCCCTCCCTGCCTCCTGCCTGCCCCACTCTCTGCCCCTCCTCTCTCTTCCACACCAATGCTGCAGGTGCTGGCCAGGAGCTACTGCTGATCCCATTTGCACCCAGGGGAGGGAACCATGTCTCCTGGGGACAGCCCGTGTGCTTGCACACGCTGCACAAGTGTCCACAACCTCCTTGCAGAGGGAACCCTATT